ATCCTGGTGCTAAATTAGGGTGTAAATGAGTAATTAACTGCTGTAATTTGTGCTCCCCGGAGGGTTTTTCTGCAGCAATCACCTCACAGGGACTGGGGTGGCTGAGCTGGAAAATTCCTGATATTCAGCTGGTTTGTCCAGCCTGAGATTTCAACTTCCAAGCAATAAATCATTTTCCAAGCTGCTTTTTCTGTTGGGCTTGGGGAGATATTAACAGGTCTTGGCTGCAGACTGGGAACTTTGGGAGCTGCAGTGATGAAGCTTTGCAGATTTGATGTTCCCTCTGCACCTTCTGCCAGCAAATTGAGGGATTTTAGGACACCTAATATAACTTAATAACCCATTTGGAAATTAAAAAGGAACATACATATATATATTTTTAAATATAGTATATATATAATAAATAAATGAGATCCCAGTTGGATTTTCCAACCCTCCTGGTTTGGCAACACTGGTGCTGGTGGAGCTCTTTTAACGAGCAAGTTATTTTAGGAGCTGCAGGAGGTTATTCCCACTATAGATCATTTTTACAGCTGCTTTCAAGCAGAGGATGCTTTGCAGAAAAAGGGGAATTGCTTTGTGTTAAATATCCCAAATTCTGCCCAGCTTGTGATTAATCCCAGGGCTCTTCCTTACCTTTGGGATCTGCTCGCTCTGGGTGGTTCTGGCTTTGCTCACTTTGAGTTTTGAGATAAGAAATTATATTTTTCCTTCATTCTACACCCTGGGCTGCATTCCTGGTCCTCCATCCTCATGGAAACTCCCTCCCCCAGTTTGTAGGTGGGTGGTGATGCCCAGAAATGAATCCAGGTGCAAAGGAGGGAAGGCCAGAGTTGGGTTTTTATTCTATGTGTGGCTGAAAATCAGCTTGGACTCACTGCAGGCACTGCTGAGCTTCTCTTTCCTGGAGTATGGGGAAAAAAAATGGATTTTCTGCTTGTTTTCCAAGTGAACTAATTCCCAGGGAGAGCTGGAGGCTGGACAGGGATATTTGATGTGCTCAAAAACAAATGATGTGGCAACTTTTAAAGTGCCAAAGGGAGCTGTTTGTCCCTCACTCCTCAGGATGCTGAGAAGCTGCATCAGGGCTTTTCCTGAGCACAGATTCTGCCAGCCTTGACTCCTCCATTTCCTGCAATTGTTGGAGTGTTCAGAGTAACTCCTTGGTTTTGTTTGTTTTCCAGGCTGGTTGTGCCCAGGCTGAAACAAGTCCTGGGGAAGGAAGGGATGGTTGAGTTTCAAGGAAAGCCTTTTTTTCTTGCACGAACCCACGGTGGGACCTGCAAAAAAATCCACTGGGAGAATGTGTTACCCAGAGAAGCTGTGGTTGCTCCATCCCTGCAAGTGTCCAAGGCCAGGTTGGAGCAACGTGGGATAGTGGAAGGTGTCCCTGCCCATGGCAGAGGGTGGCACTGGATGATGTCCAAGGTCCCTTCCCACCCAAACCATTCCATGTTCTTGCCCATCTCTGGCAGCTCCAGCTCCGTCCCAGCAGCAGCACTGGGGGTCTCAGACCCTCCTCAGCTCCAGCCCAGAGGCAGCTGAAAGACTTGGGATTAACCTGTCACTGGAATGGATTTAAATGCCAGGGAGTGGGGGGAGATGGGATTTTGGGAAGGGATTCTTCCCTGGGAGGGTGGGGAGGTCCTGGCACAGGTTGCCCAGAGAAGACCTGAGAGCCCCTTCCAGGGCCTGAAGGGGCTCCAAGAGCTGGAGAGGGACTTGGGACAAGGGATGGAGGGACAGGACACAGGGAATGGCTTCCCACTGCCAGAGGGCAGGGATAGATGGGATATTGGGAAAGAATCCTTCCTTGTGAGGGTGGTGAGTGTCTGGGATGGAATTCCCACAGAAGCTGTGGCTGACCCTGGATCCCTGGAAGCATCCAAGGCCAGGTTGGAGGAACCTGGTCTAGTGGAAGCTGTAGAAAGGGGGTAGAAAGGGATCTCTAAGTTCCTTCCAACCCAAACCATTCCAGGATTCTGGAATTCTATGAATTAAACCACTTCCCCATTTGCTCTCAACGAATCCATCGTGGCCGTGCCAAGTTTGTCCGAGGCAGTTTCGTGTCCTCTGGCAAAGACATTCTGGAAATCACTTGCAGGGAGCTGAAAGGGGGATGATTTAGGGGAGCAATCTGCAGACTGATGCTCCTCTGAGCCCTCACACTTCATACCCAGCCACTCTGCTGGAAACACTTGGGGAAATGAGGCACATTCCATTCTGCTTCCCTAATTTCTGATGAAAATCAGGACCCCAGTTTGATTTCAGACACATCCCAGCTGTGAACATTTCCCTGAGCCTACCTGGCTCCTCAGTCAGGTTCTTCCTCTGCTTGTTCCCAGCTTTTTGCTGCTTGCCAGGAGGAATTTTGCCCTTTTATGTGTCTGAAACAAGTTCCTGCTTTTCATACACAGGTCTCAGACACAGGAAAACAAGAAGTTTTCCAGGGCTTGGAGATATTGGTTTGTGCTGCTTGCTTGGATGGGCTTTGCTGCCTTTTTCCTCCCAAATTCCCACCTTGCTGAAAATTTGAGACCAAGAAATGCAGCAGGTTGCTCTGGGCACACTGAGGATGCAGCTCCTTTTGGGTCCTTCTTGATGGGAATCTGGGCTTTCAATCCCAGGCACGGGAAAACCAACCCTCTGCTCAGGGTTTGCAATGCAAGAAGAAAGCTGGGAATGCCAATTCCCCTAAAAAAAATCAGCCCCAGGCTCCCAGACCTGCCTTTTCTCCCTGTTTTACACACTCTCCTCCAGCTTCCCCCTGGCAGATTTGCTTTTCTGGTTGTTCCAGGGTGTGGATCAAAGGCTAAAAATTAAACTATTAAAATAAAAAATAATTTCTCTAATTCACTCAAACCTGAAAGGGGCTTTTCCAGCTGATCCCAAACACTCTCAGATGCTCCTGAAACAGAGCCAACACTGGGTAGGAACAATTCCTGCTGGTGTTGTGGCTTTTTTATTGATTATTCTCTAATTCTCCTCCCATCTCCTACAGGAGAGCTCGGCTACATCCAATTTATTTTCGAGAGAGGGTTTTGTAACCACTCCAGAGCAAAACAAAGCCTGTTTTTAAGGACATCATAGCATCATCCACGTCCAGCTCTGCTTCCCGAGCTGGCAGTCCTTGAGCTGTGGCAGCTCCATCACCCCTCGGAGGGAACATCAGGAATATCGGAGCCAGTTCAGCTCCGAGGCATCGGCTCCAAACGTGCTGGCACAAGGCAAGCCCCCCTCACCCCCCTCGCCTGGATCCACAGCCAAAATGTCTTTTATTCCTCGGGAAGAGGGACCAAAACGAGGCGCAGCAGAGCCGGGAATGTGCAGCAGAGCCGGGAATGTGCAGCATCGGAAAAATCGGTTGCACTTGTAACGCTGAAAATTCAATTCCCAAGGGAATTGAGAAGCTGTTTGAGAGCCGGGATTTGTCAGCAGTGCTGGTGTGAAATGCCATTAAATAGAGATTTCTCGGAGAGGGCGAGCTGTGAATTGGAGGCGCCGGGGCAAGGCTGGTCCGTGTCCCTCGAGGGCGGTGACAAAGGAGTGTCCCCGGGGCCACCGGCACCGGCTGAACTTTAGATCGTGGCACAACACGAGCTCTGCTGACAGATCCCAACCACAGCCCGAGCTCTGCCAGCAGATCCCAACCCTCGGGCACGACCAGGCAGGGAAAAACCGACTGAGCTACAGCCAAACCCCGAGAGAAATCCCTGGCACCTGCCTGTTCCCTTGACCCCCCTGACGACATCGAGGTGGGTTTCCTTGAGGACATCCCCCACCCCACCAAGTCAGGATGTATTTCCAGAGCCTGAGCTTCTCCCAAGGCTCCTTGGATGGTTCCCAACCCAGACCAAGAGCTACGAAACTGCAGCACAATGAGGCACCTCCAACACAATAATTTTCTGCCATGGGGTAATGGCATTTTGTGCTAAATGCTGAGTTTGCTCTTAACTGAGGGGGTGGAGAGGGGATGGACGGCTCTGCAGAGGGGGTGGGAGGGAGAAAGTGCTACAAATGCACCCCCAAGACACACCATCAACATGCACCAGCCTTTCCTGAGCTCCTTTTGCAGCACTGATAAAGGATTCCCAAAGCCAACCAGGGTGGGGAGGGGGATTATTTTTAGTGCTGTTTTACAAAAAAATTCTAGTTGCAGTATTCTCCTATGAGTGGACATCACACAGAGCCACATAGAATCACAAGATCACAGAATTAACCAGGTTGGAAAAGACCTCTGGGATCATCGAGTCCAACCCTTGATCCAACCCCACCTTGTCCCCCCCACCATGGCACTGATGCCACATCCAGGCTCTGCTTAAACACCTCCAGGGACGGGGACTCCACCCCCTCCCTGGGCAGCCCATTCCAAGGGCTGATCCCTCTCTCTGGGAAGAACTTCTTCCCCATGGCCAACCCAAACCTGCCCTGGGGCAGCTCCAGGCTGTGCCCTCTTGTCCCACTGCTGGTTCCTGGGAGCAGAGCCCGACCCCCCCCGGCTCCCCCCTCCTGTCAGGGAGTTGCAGAGAGTGAGAAGGTCTCCCCTGAGCCTCCTCCTCTCCAGGCTGAGCCCCCCCAGCTCCCTCAGCTGCTCCTCACAGCACTTGTGCTCCACACCCTTCCCCAGCCTCGTTGCCCTTCTCTGCCCCTGCTCCAGCCCCTCAACATCCTTCCCAACCTGAGGGCCCAGAGCTGGGCACAGCACTCGAGCTGTGGCCTCCCCAGTGCCCAGGGCAGGGGCACAATCCCTGCCCTGCTCCTGCTGCCACACTATTCCTGAGCCAGGCCAGGCTCCATTGGCCTCTTGCCCCCCTGGGCCCCCCTGGCTCATGTTCAGCTGCTGTCAGTCAGTCCCCCCAGGGCCCTTTCTGTGCCCCCACTCTGTCCCAGCCCGTGGGGCTGCTGAGGGTTGTTGTGGCCAAAGGGCAGGACCCGCCCTTGGCCTTGTTAAGCATCAAACCACACGTGGCCTCTGTGGGGGTGTGACCCTCCCCACTCACCTGTCCAGGGCGATGGCTGTCATGGAGTAGATGCTGGCGAAGACGGCAGCGATGGGGAAGAAGTTGTGGAAGCGGCAGTAGAAGGGCCCGTAGTACCACTCGTTGTGGATGGCGTAGGTGAAGTTCACCACGGTGTTGAAGGCGGCCATGGAGGCCTCGGCGAACGCCAGGTTCACCAGGAAGTAGTTGGTGACCGTCCTCATGCGCTTGTGGGCCAGGATGATCCACATCACCACCACGTTCCCCACCACGGCCACCACCACGATCAGGGCGTAGGCCACGGCCCACAGGGCCACCTGCCACGGGGGCTGCACAAACTGGTTGGACAGGGACTCGTTCAGGGAGCTGTTGGACAACCACTGCTGCTCCAGCTCCGCTTCCACGGGCAGAGCGTCATCCATGGTGTCCCCACAGAGCCAGAGCCAGCACACGGAGGTGTGGGCTGCAGATCCCTCCTGCTTTAGGGTACAGCAGAATTGGGGTGCAGATCCCTGCCAGCTTAGAGTGCAGGGATGCTTTGGGGTGCAGGGATGCTTTGGGGTGCAGGTCCCTCCCAGTTTAGGGCACAGCAAGATCAGGGCACACGGATGGTTTAGGGTGCAGATCCCTCCTGGTTTAGGGCACAGGGATGCTTTGGGGTTCAAGTCCCTCCTGGTTTAGGGTACAGCAGGATTGGGGTGCAGGTTCCTCCTGGTTTAGGGCACACAGATGTTTTGGGGTGCAGGTCCCTTCCAGCTTAGAGTGCACAGATTCTTTGGGGTGCAGGTCCCTCCTGGTTCAGGGCACACAGATGTTTTGGGGTGCAGATCCCTCCTGGTTTATGGCACACAGATGTTTTGGGGTGCAGATCCCTCCTGATTCAGGGCACACAGATGTTTTGGGGTGCAGACCCCTCCCAGTTTAGGGTGCAGAGGTGCTTTGGGGTGCAGTTTCCTCCTGGTTTAGGGCACAGCAGGATCAGGGGCCAACAAGTTTGGGGCAGACACCTGGTTTGGAGTGCAGGTCCCTTCTGGTTCAGGGTGCAGCCAGTTTGGGGTGCAGGGCTGGTCCAGGACAGGGCACCTCCCAGTCCAGGGGCAGCTGGTTTAGGGTGCAAGGCTGGTCCAGGGCACAGGTCCCTTCTGGTTCAGGGTGCAGCCCCTTTGAGGTGCATCCTCCTGTCTCTGAGTGCAGCTGGAACAGGGTGTCCGGCCATGCCAGGGCTTCACTGGTTTAGGGTGTGGGTCCCTCCCAGTTCAGGCACAGCTGGACTGGGGTGCACAGCTGGTTTGGGGTGTGGGTCCCTCCTAATTCGGGCACAGCTGGTTTGGGGTGCGGGTCCCCCCGGGCTCGGCTGCAGCTTCACCGGGGTGCAGATTCCTCCCGATTCAGGGCATTCAGGGACCCGGGTCCTTCCCACCAGAGCAAGACGCGGGTCCCTCCCGGTTCTGGGTGCGGGTCCCTCCCGGTTCTGGGTGCGGGTCCCTCCCGGTTCGGGACCAGAGCACAAGGCGGGTCCTGCCCGTTCGGGACCAGACCAGGATTCTGGACACAGGTACCTTCCGGCTCCGGAGCGGAGCAGGATGGGGGTTCCCCCCGGTCCAGGATGCAGTCTCAGGATTCGGGTGCCCCCGGTTCAGGACCGGAGCAGGATGCGGGATGCACGTGCCTCCTGGCTCGGGACCGGAGCAGGATGCGGGTTCCCCTCGGTCCGGGATGCAGCCGGTGCAGATACGGATCCTCCTCGTTTTGGGATGCAGCCGGTTCGGAACGCGGATCCTCCCTGGATCGGGATTCGGTCGGTTCGGGGTGCGGCCGGTTCAGGATGCGGATCCCCTCCGTCGATCGGGATGCGGCCAGTTCGGGATGAGGGTCCCCCGCTGGATGGGGATGCAGCCGGTTCAGGATATGGATTCCCGCCGGTTCAGGATGCGGTTCGCCCCCGGATCGGGATGCAGCCGATTCAGGAGCGGAGCAGCCTCGGGTCGCAGCCGGTGCCGCGAAGCGACTGCGGCTGTCAAGGCACTCCCGGGCCTTTTATAATCGGGGCGGGCGGTGCCAGAGCCCGGTGGGCAGAGTCGGCAAGGGAAGAGCACTCCCCAGCCCCTGGTCCCCTCCCCCGGTCCCCGGCCCCTCTCCCGGCCCCCTCCACCCTGCCCAGGGGAGCTCTTCTCCCCTCTCCACTCCCACCTGCCCCGTAGAAGGGGCTATTCCAGCTTCCCCGACCCCCCCCCGACCCCCATTTTCATTCCTCCTCATCCCCGTCCAACCTCTTTGCCCTCCAAAGCTTCCTGTGCTTTGTGTCCTTTTTGGGGGGCTCAGGGAGGTCTGGGCCAAAACGCTCTCAGAAGTCACTGAGAATTTAAACACCCTGATAATAGCAAAGCTTATATATTTTATATTATTTTATTTTATATTATTTTATTTTATATTTTAAATTTTATTTTATGAGGGGGATCTGGGCCAAATACACTCTCAAAAGTCATCGGGAAAAATCCTGATAATAATAAAGCTTATATATATTTATATGTTATATTTTTATATTATATATTTATACATTTTATATATTATATAATATTTATATATTATAAAGCTTTCCAATATACCATCCAGAGGATCTCTCCAAGCAATTGTGGCCCATGAGTGTTTTGCAACCCCAGTGAACAAAACAAATAACTGAATTCCCAAAGAAGGAAAAGCTCTTCCCACTCCAGCACAACCTGTTTCCTTCCACTGCAAACAGGACATTCCATTTTAGCGCCCCTTCTCTCACAAAGCAAACAGCAATTAAAGGGCTGGTGAAACCTTCTCCACTAAAACCTCATTTTTGCCATGAATTTGGGATCTCGTTAAGCTGCAAACGGGGCTTTGCAGCTTCCCACAGGCCTGGTTTAAATCCACCAAACGGGGGGGTTTCAACGTGCTCCTCCAGTGGGTTTTTATTTACTTGGGTTTTTATTGCGGGCAAAACCACAACAACCCGTGTTGCTGCTGCCAGGAAAGGCGCCTCTCCCTCGGGATGCGCTAATGCAATGAGGAGGAACCTCGAGCCCAGCAAAGCCGAGCTTGTCCCTCCGGTTTGCTCAGGATGCTCCTAAATCACGGCTTCCCTCCCGAGCTGCTGGAAGAGGAAGCGCTCCCAGGTAAAGCCGCGGCTCCCTGGAAACTGGGAGGGAGGAACTGGGGTTGGAATTGCGGAGCCGAGCGTGGGGAGGATGGGGGGGATCAGACACCGGAGGGAGCTGAGGGGCTGGAAACCTTTAATCCCCAACATCGCGTCGTTTGGTGAAGGGAGACTGAGCGTTTTAACATGGGGATGGATGAAGGAGGCACATTCCAACCGGGAATATATCCCAGCTCTGCGTTTCCAGCCGTTTCAGGGGCCGGTGGGTGACCACGGAGGGGTCCAGGCAGGGGGCCGAGCGCTCTTCCCGATGCTCCCGGACCACTCGATGGCAGCATTGCTTAAAAATGCGGGAGGAGCGATGGGAGAGCTAGGAAAGGCTCGATGGGAATTGCGTTTCCCACCTCCCCCCCCCCGAGCCCCCGACACGTTATTTTGGGGAATTGCCATAAATTTGGCAAAGGGTGAACCCCAAAGGCAGGGAGATGGGGGCGGAGGAGGGGGGAAAATTCCCAGCTATTCCCAGCGAATCCTTCCCCACTCCCTCCATCCCTGAATTTCTCCAGGCTGGCAGGATCATCCCAAGGATGAAGGCAGGGCTGAGGGAGCACATTCCTGCCTCAGTTCTCCCACTGGGAAAAGGGAGGCAAAGCCTTTTCAGCTCCTAGAGGAAAGAACCAGCTCTTTTTTCCTTGGCTGCTGCTGTGCAAGGAGTTGGAATTCAGGCTGATGTCTGGATTAGTAGGAATTGGGGCTGATGTCTGGATCCATTGGAATTGGGGCTGATGCCCAGATCAATTGGAATTGGGGCTGATGTCCGGATCCTTTGGAATTGGGGCTGATGTCCAAATCAAGTGGAATTCAGGCTGGTGTCTGGATCAGTTGGAACTGGGGCTGATGTCTGGATCCATGGGAATTGGGGCTGATGTCTGGATCCATTGGAATTGGGGCTGATGCCCAGATCAACTGGAATTGGGGCTGATGTCTGGATCCATTGGAATTGGGGCCGATGTCTGGATCCATTGGAATTCAGGATGATATCTGGATCAAGTGGAATTCAGGCTGATGTCTGGATCAGCTGGCATTTAGTCTGGATCAGAGAAGGCTCTGGAAGGGGAATGTTTGTAGTGGCATGTTCAGGTTGTGAGGTGTTGGAATCTGGTGGGATTTCACATTTTGTTGTTTTGAAAGAGGCTGCATCAAAAGGAAATCAATCAATCAATACTAAGATAGAAACCCTTGTGAGGAGGAACAGATGAATTTATTGCTCAGCAAAACCAGATTATTGCAAGATTTTGACAGCTCATTAACACTTGTGGGTCCCTGGGAAGGTGCCAGGGTTGTTCTGGGTGTGAATTCATTGGGCTCTTCCAACATTGCCCCTCCTTCCTTTCCTTCATGTGTGTCCTCAGCCCTTCCAGACACACAGAAAGGTTTTGTAACCGGAGCTGAAGCAAACCTTGCCTTTTCCTGTTGTGTTTTCTACAAGGACAGGAAGCTCTTCCACTGGAGCTTCCCAGCACAGTCCCCTGGGCTGGTGGAACATCAAACACATACAAAGTCTGGTTGTCTGGGAGGAAAAACTGGGCTTGTCCTTCAGGGAACCATCAGAGACGGTGATTTTCCAGCTTCTGAGGGTTTGGTTCCTCCATCTACCCTGGCCAAGGGGTTGGATCCCATTTCCCTGCTGCATAAAATCAGTTCTGAGCAGCACCAGGAACAGGTTCAAGCTTTGCCACCTCCCCAGACTGTGGCTGCAGCTCCTAAACCACAACAAGAGGTGTTTTCCTGGTGTTTTCCTTGGGAAAGAAAAGTGCAGGTGGATCAAGATACACTTTAAATCTGGGATGTGGCACCAAGTGGGGACAGCAGCTTGTTCCCAGCAAGACTTTTCCTAAAACAGCTGCTCCAGAAGGGAAAAACAGTTTGCTCCCAGTAAGTCTTCTCCTAAAACAGCTGGATCCAGAAGGGAACATCTGCCTGGTACCCAGGCCCAGGGGTTGGATCCCATCTCCCTGCTGCCTAAAATCAGCTCTGAGCAGCACCAGGAACACCTTCAAGCTTTGCCACCTCCCCAGACTGTGGCTGCAGGTCCTAAACCCCAAACAGCCCTTGGAGGAAGTGTTTTCCTGGCTTTTTGCTCAGGAAAACAAGAGCAGGTGGGTCAAGCTCTGCTTTAAATTTGAGATATGGCACCAGTGGAGAAAACAGCCTGTTCCCAGTAAGTGTCTTCTCCTAAAAGAGCTGGATTCAGAAGGGAACATCTGCCTGGTTCATCCCTCAAGCAGAGCAGGGCAGCAGCTTGTCCTTGTGCCCCTGTGCCCAGTCAGTGAGGAGCTGGAGCCTTGGAAATCCCTGGCTTTGCCAAGCTGCTCCTCAGGATTAATTTGGGAATCATCATCCAACACCCCCAAAAGCAGCTGCCTCCTGCACCAGGGGCTGCACAAACACGTGTTCACCTCACACCTCTCCAAACCCCCCGTTTTCCTCCCCTTGGCTTTAGGCTGAGCCCAGCTGAGCTCTGCTGTAGGGCTGCATCTGGCAGCTGGTTGGTGTTTCCCAGGTTGAGGTGCTTTGGTAATTAATGAGTCTCCTCCTCCCCCTCCCGGGGCACTTTGGCTGAAGGTCTTTAGGGTTTGGAGCCTCCAAAGCTGGGTGGGTGGAGGTTGGGCAGCTCT